TATTTACAAAGACTTTGTTTCCATGTTTTCCTTTTCTCATATTTTTTCCTTTTCCTTCTTTTCTTTCCCCTACCCCTGAAAGTTCCCCTTCCCCTTTAGACCTTTTCTTCCTATTTCACATTATCTGTTACACATTTTGATCAGTATTTACACTTTCAGTTTCTCACACCAGAGAAACTATTCGGTATTTCCACATGTGTGTCCTATTTATTTCACTTAAGAGTATGTCCTCAATGTGCATCCATTTAGCTATAAATGTCTCTAGTTTCTCATTCTTTATGGCTGGGTAGTACTCCATTTTATTTTTTTTTAAAAAACACATTTTCTTTATCCAGTCTCCAGTTGATGGACAGTTGGGCTGTTTCCAAGTTTTAGCTATTACAAACTGTGCTGCTGTAAACATGGGTGTGCATATATCACTGTGGTATGATTCTTTTAATTCTTTGGGGAAGAAACTCAGCAGGGGAATAGCTGGGTCAAATGGGACCTCTAATCCTAGTTAAAAATAGTTTTTTACAGTATTTTTGTTTGTGTGTTTGGGGTTTTTTTATGCTTTACATTGTATATTTGTGTCAAAGGTGTCTAAGACCACTTTATTGGACTTACAAACGAATCCTACTTACAAACGTTCTCTCAGAATGGAACTCCTTCGTAAGTTGGGGACTTTGTATGTGTGTATTTATTTATTTACAGTTGACATCTCTTTTTGTTGAATTATTCCCTTAACCAATAATATGGAGTTTGCCTGTTCTGATCAGTTTTAGCTTGAAATTTGCTTTGTTTGAGCATAAAATTACTACCCCTGCTTGCTTTTGGGGTCCTTGTTCATAGAGTGTTATTTTCTATCCATTGATTTTTAGCTTGAATTTCTTTTTTAATTAAATGGGTCTCTTGAATGCAAAAGACCATTGGGTTTTGGTTTTTGATCTAGTTTGCCAGTCTGTGACTTTTAATTGAGAAATTGAAGCGATTTACATTAAGAATTATAATTGAAAAGGATTGACTTATTCCTGTAATTGCATTAGTTTTCTGTTGCTGACTCCTTTATTTTTCCTTTTTAACTACTTGCCTTGCTTGATGGATTCATTCCCTCCAACTTTTTGGCTTTGTTGGCTTCATTGTCTCTCTCTCTAGGATATTGAATATTTTTGGCATGCTGATTTGGTGTTTATGAATTTCTTTGTTTTGTTTTGTTTTTGGTACAGGGGATCAAACTCAGGTCCTTGTGCTGGCGAGGCAGGCGGCGGAACCACTGAGCTAAATCCCCAGCCCCTCGTGAATTTCTTAAGATGTTCTTTTTCATGGAATTTCCTTATTTCTCTGTCAGTTTTTGTTTATTGGTTTTTTTGGAACTGGGGATCAAACTTGGGTCCTTGAGCTTGCGCAGCAGGATTTAACCACTGAGTTAAATCCCCGGCCCTCTCCATCAGTTTTGAGAGATAGTTTTGCAGGATATATTAGTCTAGGTTGAAAGTTGTTTTCTTTTAGGGCTTGAAACATTTCACTCCAACATCTCCTGGCCTTGTAAGGTTTGTGTTGAAAAACTGTTGTAATTCTAATGAGTTTACCTTTATAAATAATTTTTTATTTCTCTTGACAACTTTTAAGATTCTGTCTTTATGTTAGACCTCTGGGATTTTTGCTGTGATGTATCATGAGGAGCTTCTTTTCTCTTTTTAGTAATCTCTGATGTTCTGTAAGCTTCGTTTACCTGCATGTTGAGTTCTTTCCCCTTACTTAGAAAGTGTTCTGCTAGGATTTCTGTAAACAGATTTTTAAAATTCTGTCCTCTCTTTTCTCTCTAACTCCATTTAGCCTTAGGTTAGTCTTCTTAGAAGTGTCATCAAGTAGCAGTTGGATGAATTTTTCTTGCTCTCTTATTGTGTTTAAAGTTTTTCTGAGTATATCATGATGTGATTCCATTTTGTCCTTGATTTCTAAAACCCTATTAATCATTGCTGCTGTTTATGAATTGTAGGATTTCTGTTTGATGCCTTTTCTTTGAGTCTGTTTCTTCGGTAAATTAGTCATTCATGTTTTTGTTTTTGTTTTTTTTTTGGTACTGGGGATCGAACTCAAGTCCTTGCGCTTGCACAGCAGGCGGCAAAACCACTGAGCTAAATCCCCGGCCCCAGTCATTCATGTTTTGAATCAGTTTGGTCAGCTCTTCCAATTTTTTATTTGTTTTTCCCGTAATCACATTGATCAGTTTGTTTGCTGGTTCCACTTTTAGGTTATGTTCTCTTTGAGCTCCCTGAGTTTCTTTGCTTCATCTTTAATTATTTCATATAGTGCAGGTATCCGGTGTTTGCTTTTCTCTCTGTCAGTGCCCCTTGATTCTGCGTTGGGAGAGTTGGAAGTCTTTGGAGGTATCTTGTTGTCTTTTTTCATGTTCCGATTGATTGATTGATTGATTGATTGATTTGCCAAAGGTTGAGGTCAAATCAAATGAAGAGTTTTTTTGTTGGTGTCAACATCTCTTTTGTTAAGTTCTGTTTTCCTCTGATGTGTTCTTAGCTTTCTTCATCAAGAAGTATTGTTTACCACCTCAACCTATTCAAATTAATTGGGTTGGACCCTGTCACTGTGTTGTAAGGAGACAATTTCTACTGGTTATACCAGTTATCAATGGATCCAACCACACGTCAATTGTAAACATTAAAACTTGGTTTGATAATTTCATCCTTTTGTCTATATCCCTTCCAAACTGTGTTACATTGCTATTTGTAGTTCACCTGGGATGTGGAGAATGGGGGAAATGAGAGGAAAGGGGAAAAGGATGTGGGTATGTCAGTGGGAAGAGAAGGAAGCAAGTGGCACACACCTTTTGTCCCAGTACTGGGGAGGCTGAGCCAAGAGGATTGCCACGAGATCAAGGTCGGCATAGACTACATAGTGAGTTCAAGACCCTTCAAGAAAGAAGAGGTAGAAGAGAAGCACTAAAAGGGAACAGGTCAGCGGGGGAAACCTTGAAGAATAAAGTATCATAACCAAACAATATCAATAAAGAAGCAAGAACCAGAAGGAAAAAAACAAAAACAGAAAGAACAAATGAGAAAAAAGAAAGAAAACAGAGATAAAGGGAAAAAAATCAAGATGACCCAAATCAAATGAAGAAGCAAGGAAACAACTAAAATAAAAATAGAAACAAAAATTAAAACCTTCACACAGTTGTTACTGCACAAACTCAAAGCATCCACACAGCTCCCTCTATACTGGAGTCACAGTCTGATTCCAAGCAGCAAGCAGTTTACCACTATGGGCCAGGCAGTTGCCTGCCCAAAGCCATGAGGGCTGTTGCTCCTTCCAAACACGTGTTCTGGTTGCAACAATATGTGGTCTGGGCACGACCCACTGCAGGCCTTCGTGGATCCAATTTTCTTAATCTACTTGGGGGGGATAAATATCGGAGACATCTCCATGTCTTCCCTCACAGGCTTTTGTTGCCTGGCATTTGGCCAAATGGTCACTGGCCCAGGCCAGCTCTCTGCCCACTGATGTCTCTCAGCCTTTCCCACAAAACCTAGTGCCGCCTCTCTTTGCCAGTGTGGGGTGGTAGGCAGGACCTCTGGCCTTCTCAGGCCTTTCCAGCTTTTGGAGAAATAAGAGAGCACCTACCCTGTTATAGCTCTGCCAACTCACTGCCTGACCTAGGTGCCAGTGTCTCCTCTCAAAGATCTTCTTGCTCTACTGCTTTGCATATTTGTCACAGACCCGGTTTTCCATGCCCTCTGCTGTCCCCCAGCTAGGAGATCTGGGCCCCCCCTTGTGAGAGCCCATTGGCAGGTATGAGTAGTGTGCTGAGTATTCCACAAATAGTACTCCCATTGTATGGTGAGGGAATAGTGACCTACTCTTTTCTGTCAGGCAAGTCTTTCTCCTCACAGTCCCACGGCTCACAGGTGCTAGAGTGCTGCTGGTCACAAGACATGGGTGCATGTGATTTATTCCCCCCATTCTCCTTTCAGCTTTAAATCCCTGGGTTGTATATGTCTCACTTGCCATGCCCAGTAGGGAGGCAATAGTGATGGTGAGTCTGTTCAGTCAGCCAAACCATCACGGAAGGGCTAGATCCTTCCCTCAGTCCAGTTCTCTGGCACAATGACGTGGAGGCCTGGACTGGGTGGAAGTGTGTTTCTATAATCCAGGAGTGGTCTGATTTCCCATCACACACACCCTGAATACTGGATTTTAGTCCAGCTAGATTTTTTCATTTATCCTCCTGTATCAAACTTTATCTTTCACCCCTACCTCAAGATAATCTGCTTTTCTTCAGCACCAATTTGGAGATACTCACATACCCTTGTTTTCATGCCCCGGGAGGCCATCTTCTTTCTCTCACTACTAAGAAGTTTTGTTATTTTTCACATTTTGATTTTTCATTTGTGTGAAGAATTTTATTCTGCTGCTTTTGGATTAATTCATTGAGTCAGTCTTTCAACCCTTATTCAATACTTGCTATGTGTTTGGTAAATAAACTGACTTGAAGCCAGTAAAGATAAGTGTGTTACAATCTGCATCCTTGAGGTTGCAGATCACTGGTAGGAGTGGAAGAAAGGGAAGAGAGCAGCAAAGTGCTATAATCCCCTGTTAAGTGTTCTAATAAGTAGGGTCTCTATTCCAGAGCATACTAGTTGGATTTGGCAGAGTTACACAAACTTGGCTAAAATATAGTACAACCTGGAACTACGCCTATGTTCCCTAATGCCTCTGAGCCTGTGTTCTTCTCAAATGAGGTAGTGCCCACCTAGTGTTGGCGGGAGAAAAAAATGAGGAAATGTATGAAATACCTGTGCAAGTAAGTACTTATCAAGTGATAACTGTATTATAAAACATTACTAGTCAGAATAATGTTGACAGTATGCTCATATACTGTAAATAGTTTATATATGTGTATATTTTTCACTCATATATAGGTGGACAGTTGGTAATTCTGTGATAAGAGAGGGTTGCATATATAAATCTGGTTGTAAAATGGTTGATTTTATATACTACTTCAGGTACCAAAGCAGTCAGACTCACAGCCTAATTCTGATAACCTAAATCGCCAAGGTGAATGTGGGAGGAAACAAGTGTCTTACAGAACTGATATCATTGGTGGTGTACCCATCATTACTCCAACTCAGGTAATCAGTTAATTCTTTTATGAGGGTCTCATTGCATATTGATTTTTGAATTGTCATTCAAACTAAAACAATACATCTTTTCTAAATTAATAAAATAGTCAATTACTACAAAACCTTTTATTTTTGTTTCCTGTCCCAAAAGTATATGTTTATTTTAAAAAATTGTATGTTGCAGATAAACAACATTTAACACTTTTCATGTTGCTCGGAGTACATGCTTCTCCCGGGTACTCTGCACACCCATAGAAATGGAGATATGAGTTGCATATTAGACTCTGTAAATAGTTTTTCACTTATGAACATTTTCCTAGATATCAGATAATATTCTATGTTATTTTTCATGACTACAAAGTAGCTCTGCTATGGATTTTCCATAATTTTCAAATCCAATAGAGTTCTTTTTTCCTTTTTTCTTCCTTTTTTTTTTTGGTACCAGGGATTGAACTTAGGACCTTGTGCTTGCCAGGCAGGTGCAGCACCACTGAGCTACATCTCGAGCCCTCTTCCTTTTTTCTTATGATGAACTTATGGTTTATCCTTTATACGCACAGATGATATTTTTAAAGAGTAAATTCTTAGAAATAAAACTGCTGAGTCATGGTTTGCAAATATGTATAATTTTTTAAGACTGATTTTTCTACAACCTGGACTAGGTCAGCTAAACAAAGGACTGGAATTTTTTCTTAATTGTGTCCTGAAAGTATGACATGCTAAAGTAAGTCTGACTTGAGTATTAGGAAAAATATAAATTTATAAATAATTTTTATTACATTAAAACTTCTATAGGAGTTTACATTTCTTGTGTTGCTATTGATGGAATAAGTTTGTAGTAATTACTAGTAGTGGAGAAACCAAGAATTAAGTGTTATTGTCAGTGTTGGGTTTTTTATTACACTTGTGACTTCTGAACTTAAAAGACTGATACTTTATAAGTCTTTTAAATCAAATTATATACCATATTTGCAGGTCTTTTGCCAGGAGAGGGTTATTAATGGAAAGAAAAATCATACATTATTTAGCTATTGATTGTTTTCTTTATGCTCCACAAAGTGTATATTAGTGAACAAAAATCCCTGCTCTATTGGGAGCTTGCAGTTTTACCAAAGTTGAATAAAAAAATAAAATCGGACTGTGTGTGTGTTTGGTTTTCTAAAAAAGCAATGGTTTTAGCCTGTTAAATGTCTAGTTATAGCTAGCCTAAGCTTCTTTCATTTGTATTATGACTTGCATTGACATTATGTGCCAGATTATTTGCCTGTAGTTGTATTAAGATACTATAGTAGTTTGTATGTGTGGCTAATTTAATTTGGATTTTATGCAGATGCCAATTTAAAAATTCCAAATAATTGTATTGTTTTATTATTTTGCAGTATAGTTTTAAAAAATTATAAAGTAGTATTTACTCATTGTGAAAGCATTTAGACATGTAACAAGAAAATGTTAAATCTTATTTGCGTTATTATCAGTATTTATTGAGTAAGCAGTGTTAAGTACTAGCATTACAAATTTAAGTTCATAGTGTTGTTGACCTATCTGACTGTAGAATGAGTTGAAAATTCCTCAAGATATGTATGACAATTAGGACTTAGTTTTTCTCTTGAATTTTAGAAGTTCTAGAAAATAAGTCTTTGGCTTATTTATGAGATTCTAAATTATCTGATGTCATAAATATACAGGAAGCCAGTGCTTTGAGGAACATGATATCCTGGGTATAGTTTTTAAAAAATACTTGGGCTTACATGTAAAACATAAAACTGCAACACTTTTAGAAAAAACCATGGGAGAAAATCTTTAAGAGCTATGACTAGGCAAAGAGTTTTTAAGACTTAGCATTAAAAGCATAATCCATATAAGAAAAAGATGGGTACATTGATCCTAATCAACTTATATTCTCAAAATGTCAGAATTATAGAGGTATAGAACAAATTAGTGGTTGTGTGGGATTAGAGGTAGAATCTCTGAAGGAGTAACACAAAGAAACCTTGTGGTGAACAGTTCTGATCCCGACCGTGGTAACAGTTCCACAAATCTTAAACGTAGTAAAATTACATAGAACTATATATATGCACATAGACAAATGAGTGTGTGTAATGCTGGTGCAATCTGAGTAAGATTTGTGATGTACTTGTGTCAGTTTCTTGATCCCACCCCCCCACCCCCGGAACCGGAGATCGAACTCAGGACCTTGCGCTTGCCAAGCAGGCGCTGGTGCCACTGAGCTAAACCTCCAGCCCCCTTGATTTTGGTAATATATCTATAGCAGTTTTCCTAAAGTGTACACAGGACCTCCTGTGCTCCTCTGCTTTTTTATTTTTTATAATTTTCTGTGAATCTATGTACTTATTTCAAAGTAAAAAGTCCCTCTCCCCAAAAAGGTACTAGTGGCAGGACTTTTATATAACTTCAGAAGTAGAAATTTGTACTTTGTGATCAATAAGAAAGTTATGAGTAAGTATCTCAGATTAATTAGAAAACTCTGCACTTCAAAATCCGTGTTCCTGGCTATACTGAGATAGATTTTAAGATTTTCTAGACTAACAACATAAAATAGAAGTATGCTTTAAAGCTAAACAAGCAAGAAAAGAATTTATTTATTTTGCTTCATTTTAGAAAGAAGAAATAAATGAATGTGGTGAAAGTACTGACAAAAATAATTTGAAACGGTCACAAAGCTATCTTCCTTACTTTACTCCTAAACCACCTCCAGACAGTGCAGTTATCAAAGCTGGATATTGTGTAAAACAAGGAGCAGTGGTGAGTGGCTTAACAATGTGAAATAATGACAAACGAGGCTGCACTAGCAACCCACAAGTTATTCAGATAGTTTGCATTATTTTATAAAAGACTGAAAGTGAAGACTGGCAGGCTGGGAAGAACATCAGGAGATAGAGCAGGGATTATTCTATATTTATAATGCAGTATTATTATTTCCTTAGTCTGTGGACAGCTGGGTAACTTAATCCCTGTGTACACTGACCTTCAGTTTAGATGAGCCTTTCTAATAGTTTCACCTTACTTCAGAATGTTCTTCTGTTGCTTCCCCATACCTGTAGGAATGGGTGATGGGAAGAGCTCCCCTAGAAAGACAACGTCTTGAGGCTGGAAGAATGAGTACTGGTGTTGGCTCGACCTCAGTGGAAGTCTCTGTGGGCTTGGGCTGTTTAACCTCCCAGACTCTCAATTTCTTTTCTAAGGAAAACCATTTGTAAAAATTATGATCTAGAGCTTTTTTGGGAAAGATGTAAATGAGAAAGTTGTAGCCCTTGGCAGAAAACCTAGTACTGACCAAGAGCTCTCACAGGTAAACCCAAATAATCCCACACAGCTGCATGATGGAAGATTTCTGCAAAAGCAAGTAAATTTACTAGTATTCCTAAAGATCCAGGTGCTTTTCTAAACTTATTTTGTTTGTGTGAACTAAATCTTTAGAATGTCATGAGAAAATAAACTTGTTTTGTAAATAAAAGGAAAAAATATCTAGGAATAAAAAAATACTTAAAACTCTTATTGGTAGTTCTGCTTGTCTGCTCATCCCTTTCCAACAACTCTGATTTCTTTAGGTCAGCCCAGGGAAAGTTCTCCCAGCTCTGTTTGACCTTTTGTTAGGCTCAGAGAAATGACGGCAAGAACTAGAGTTTTCTCACTGTACAGTTTCTGCAGATGGAGTCATTTCTCACCAGGGTGTGATACTTGGCATGTGTTAATTGGGGCTTTGAAGGAGACAATCCTTCCTTGTTGTTTTACTCCTATATCCAGTATCAATCACTTAGAGATATTTCAGAGCACACACAAAAAGTATACTTCATTGATAAAAATATTTGTATAAAGTATATTCACTTTATTAAATATTTATTGCTTTATTACTATGTGTAAAGTACTTATAGAAGGATTCGTGCATTTTAAATATGGAGAAACCTGATGTAGTATAAATTTCCTGTGCTTGCTCTTTACTTTGTTAGGGTCAGGAGGAAAGGGCAGCACCTTTTTGTTGTTGTTACTTTATTTTTTTACTTATAGAACATTAAAAGTATGAAATATCATAGCATCAGTAATAAAACCTGGAAGCCAGCCACTACAGGTTGAACTAGGAGTTCATGGCGTGGGCAGCAAACGAGAGATGAGCTTTCCTTTTTTGCCTTACTAAGGGAAGGCAGTGAGGTTTTCAGTAATTCACATTTTTGATTGTGGGTTCATATCAGAATGATTAAGTGGTGATTAACATTTGACATTCTTAGAAATGAGTCTTATTTCTGTGTTCATTTCTGGTAGATGAAAAACTGGAAGAGAAGATATTTTCAATTGGATGAAAACACAATAGGCTACTTCAAATCGGAACTGGTATGTTGCTACATCATAAGTATTGCTTTACAAATGCTTGAGAAGTGTTACATTCTTGTGAAGTATTATTTTATGGTATTTATTTTCTCTATTTAAAATAATCCAATTCTAGTTTTGAGGGTTGATTTTACTTTGTTATGATGCTTTTGGATAATAGCATTTTTCTTAAATACATCTTAAATAAAAAGATCGTATCTTCAAAGGGGCATTCCACCTTAAAAAATCTAAAATTATCAGCCCCTTCCCATCCACAAATTTCCTTCAAAAGGAACCTTGGAGAAGGTAGCATAAGCAATAAAGTCTCCAATGGTCAGCATTTATTTAACCCTTTTTATTTGTCTTTTCTTCCTTGCCTTCTCTAAACATTCTCTTTTCCTATTTCAGATTGACTCTTTTTTTGCATGTAAACTGTTTTTGAGGTAGCTGAATATAATATCAAAAGATTGAGATCCCCTCTCTCACTTGAGTAGCATCCTCATTTAAAATGTTTGGTGACCTGAGTCCTACAATAGATTGTTGCATAACACAGTTCTATACCTCTTGTTGTTTTATGGGACCTTTAAGAAGGGAGCCATATACTTTATTTGAATGAAGGCACCATGGCAACACTCTTTAATAGAACTTCCTGCCTGGGTAAAAATACTCCATATTGATACCTTCCAGTACCACTGCCTACATGTGGCTTTTGAGTTCTGGAAATGTACTTAGTGTGACTGAGAAACTGACTTGGTTTATTTTTAAAGCTAAAACTGATTTCATTTTCATTAAGTTAAATTTATATAGTTAAATGTATACATAGCTAGTAGTTACTATATTGGAATGTAGAGCACTAGAAAATAGGGAAAGGAATATTTTAAGATTCATCTCAGGGGCCGGGGATTTAGATCCTTGGTTTCGCCACCTGCTGCGCAAGCGCAAAGACCTGAGTTCGATCCCCGGTACCAAAAAAAAAAAAAGATTCATCTCATGTCAACTCTTCTAGGAGGTTTTGCCAGAGACATTCCACCTTGGAAAATCTAAAATTATCAGCTCCTTCCCGTCCACAAATTTCCTTTTTTTAGGCCTGTGGTGCATCAGAAACGTCATGGTGGAAGGACATGGCAGAGCAGAGCTGCTCACCATCTGGCAGCTGGGAGGCAGAAAGGGTGAGAGAAGCAGAGAGGAAGAGATCAAGAAGTAGATATAGCCCCCCAAGGTCACACTTCTGTGAGTCACTCCCTTCAGCTAGGCCCCACCTCCTATTTCTAGCACCTCCCCAAAATGCCATCAAATTATGATCTCATCACTGGATCAGTCCACTAATAAAGTTAGAACCTTCATGATCCAGTCATTTGAGAAAGCCCAAGAATTGCAACCCGGTCTTCAACACAATGAGCTTTTTGGAAGAGGTTTTAGATACTCACCATAACAATTGGAATTTGATATATTGATGTATTTAACATACACAGGTAGTTGTAGATATAAATGTGCCATGAGAATATTACCATTTTCCACTGAAAGAAACCTGAACTCCATAGACATACAACAGATTCCAGAGTTGGAACAAGAGAAAGAAATGTACAGTGAGCCTGGAATCTCTTGTGTCAGAAAGCAAGGAAGTACTCAGAAATTCTAGGGACAGGTAAAAAGACCCAAAAGCCACTTTTTTTTTTTTAAAGTGATGACATCCATTTTACTCCTGGGTATAATCTGGGCTTCTGATTCTGTTAAAACTTAAATTTACCGTGTTAAAAGGCTAGACCAAAAGCTACTTTGAAATGTTTATCCTCACCAAATTTGGGACACTTAGAGCATCCAAGAATCAAAATTAAAAATGATGGTAATAGAATATAGTCATTGAATAAAGTAGGAATCCATGAGCCCATAGAGATATAAATAAATGATTGCATGATGAGTGTATGTTTGTATATTGAAGAATGAGATATTTATATAGTTGAAATATACCTACCTACAAAATAGATTAAGCACAAGGGAAGAATAGTGACTTTGCAGTCAAGAGGCTTGGTAGATAATTAGGCAGTCAAATAATTCACAGGAACTTTATCAGTGATGACAAGATTGAAGTCACCACCTGACAGGACAGTGTAAGAAAAATGCAGCATCTATTCTAAGATTCCTGCCAAAGGTACATAATCTGAATCGAATCATGAGGAAATATCAGACACACCCAAATGGGGAATGTTCTACAAAATAACTCTTGCTAGTGTCTTCCAAAGAGTCAAGACTATGAAAGTCAAGAAAAGAATTAGGAATTGTTCCATAGTAAAGGAAAAACAGATCATAAGCAGATGTAGTTTGTGATTCTGAACTGAATATTTTTCTTCCAATAGAAGACATTTGGGGAAATTTCCCAACTTCAGAAGTTATAATGAATGTAATTATGTGAGAGGATATCCTTATAATAAATACACAAAGGTATTCAGGGAGAGTGTGGGCCAGGTCAGCAGCTCACCCTAAAATGACTCAGGCGAATCAATTTTTTGTGCTATATTTTCAACCTTTCTGTAAATTCATGATTGTTTCAAAAGTTCAAAAAGTGCCTCATATGGTGGTGCATTCCTGTAATCCCAGCACTTGGGAGGCTGAGCCAGGAGCAGAGCTACAGAGTTAGTTCAAAGCCAGCCTGAATTACAAAACAAGACCCTGTCTAACAAAAAAATAATATTAATAATAACAAAGAGAAATAGGGAAAATTGAGGGGACTCTTTCAGGTAGAAAAATGAACAAGACATGAATAGACATTTTATTTTAAAAGAAATTAAATGGTCCATAAAAATAATACTCAACATTCATAAGCAGAGAAATCCAAATTAAAATTACTGACATTTCTTCTCATCTTCGTGAGAAGGCTGTGCTCAGTGAAGAGATCAACAGATCCTTTCCTCCAAAAGCATCTAATGTTATTCTGTAAGTAAAAGGAGCTAGGACTGACTCCTTGGAGAAAGAACTGATTTCAAATTTGGGACAGTTAAAGTACAAGCTGAGCCCAGAAAATCTAGTTGTGCCGAAAAATAAGGAAGTATCTCAGCTGCTATACCAATAATGGTTTCAGGCAAGAATCTTCAATGTTTGATAAAACTAATGTGCAAAATTATGTTGGGCAACTGAATATTATACAGGTTCCACGTATCTCCTCACAAGATACTTAACAATGACAGAAGAAAAAGAAAAGTAGTTTTATAGTAATTGGCAATAGTAGTAACCTTAAGCCAGATACCAGGGTACCACACCAGTAATGGATCAAACCCCTGTTTTGTGCAACCTAATAATGATGCCCTAAGAACAACACACTATCATCGCTGTGGTTTCCTATCAAAAACATAACCTCAACAGTAGCATAAATGAACATCCAGCAAATACAGATTGGGAGACATTCTATAAAATAACTGGCCTGGACTTTTAAAAACTCTTAAAGATCATGAAAGAAAAAGACAAGACTAAAGAACTGTTCCATAGTAAACAAGACCAAGGGATGTGATAGCTGAGTACAAGGTATGATCCTGGATTGCAACCCAGACAGAAAATAGATTGTTTTTCTTTTGCTGTAAGGGATACTTGTGGGGCAATTAATGGAGTCAGTATGGTCTGTGAATTACATAATAGTATTGCATCAGTGTGGAGTTTTTTGGTTTCCATAATTGTATCATGGTTATATAAGAATATGTCCATATTTTAGAAAATATACACTAATACTGCCATAAAGAATTGGATAAACAAGTCATTTGTAGGAAAATGGATGTACCTTGAGACAATAACATTAAGTGAAGTAATTCACTTAATGTTAAGTGAAGTTTTGACTTTGTGGAAGAGTGAGAAGTCATATGGTGACACACAGGCTTAAATATTGCATGGTTTCTCTTATATGAGAAACTCAACATATAAAGTACAAATAAAAGACAACAATAGGAAAAAGAGAGAAAGTTACTGTAATCCAGAATGGCCAATGTATCTAAAAGTGTTCCTTGATTTAGTATAATTGTCTTATGTATATTATGTTTTTTGGTCTGTTAATCTGTGTTTATGATAATAAAGACTTATAAAATAAATTTGATGCTAACAAAACAAATAAACATTTTTAAAAATCAAGAGTAGAGGGAAAGGGGAAAAATAGAATTGAGATGTGTTATGTACATATATCAATTCCCCACAATGAATAATTATTATGTACTGCAACTATGTACTAATAAAAAGTTTTAAGAGCAAAATATACACTAAAATATTTAGTAGTAAAGTTGTATCTGTACCTTGCCTTCAAACATTTTAGGAAAAAATATATATACTCAGATATTTATATATATATATGAGATAATTAATTTAAATGTAAAATATTAACATCTTACAAAACAGGGTACAAAGTATGTAGATATTCATTGTGTGATTTCTGTAAACTATTATGTGAGAATTTGATTAAGAGAAAGTATTCTATTGTGGTTTAATTTTTTGCTTATTGCTACATAAAATAATGCTATGTCTTAATCTCATGGTAACATGTTAAGTGAAATTCAGAACACAGTATTTAATGAAATGTATAGTATTATATTGTTAGGAACCAATTATGTCTTATATTTAGTTTTATTATCTTGGATGAAATATTTAATATGTCTAATCCTCAATTTCTTTTGTTGAATAGTAGTATATGTATTATAGAGTTGTAGAAAGTTTTAAGTGAGATAACTCTTAAAAACCAGGAGATTTCCCAGCAGTTAGTAAATGTCCAATAAATGGTACCTCATAATAAAGCAATACTGGTAAAATGACATATTTAAGTAAAGCTAGATGTGCACTGTTCCGGTTCTTTATATGAGGTATGATTGAAAATTATAGTGAATATTTAAATTTTTATAAATTTTGTTACACTAAAAGTATATTGGCATTAATCTCTCAAAATACTTTGAACACACCTATCCCATTGTTCTTGCCACTTTTGGAACCAGTTCTGTGAGTTCTCTTTTCCTGGGTGTTTTTAGTTGTACTGTTGTGGCTGCTTCAGTGTCCTGAATTGATTGAAAACACTTTCCTTTCATGGTCATTTTGACTTTGGAAGAGTGAGAAGTCATATGGTGAATAAGATCTAGTAAATAAGGTGGATCAGGACAAACCATAATATTTTTTATAAGCCTGACTTTCTGTTGGATGGTACCCAGCATCACAGTGTTTTTTATCACATCTTGTAAAGACATGAAAGAGGACTTCCAGAAATGCTTCAGAAAGTGGCAATAACCATGTGGTAAGTGTTCAAAAGCAAGGGGGGATATTTTAAGGAGGATTAATAGCAATGTCTTTTACTGTAGTAATTAAAAATTTTTTTTAACATTCACTGTATATTTTGATCACATTATGTATATTAAAATGACATTGCAGAAGAGGAAGTAGTATACTTACTGGTACACAGGGATCCATCCAGGACCAAGTCTGATGGTTAATGACTTTTTTTAACATAGAAATGCCAGTTTTATTCATAGTTAATATATTCAAGTCATATAGCTCCACTTTTTGAAACAGATGGCATTTTAATATGCTACACTATCATCGAGGCCAGAAACCTTGTTTGAAATAACAGTGGATATAAAGGTATTGAATTGACATACTCTGATGCTCTGTGGTTTAAGAAGGTAGAGTTATGGCTTAGATGTGCTTCAAGAGAGAAGCATAATTTCCCATAGACCTACAAATGGAAAACTAACCCTTGAAAGGATTTTAAGAATAAATGTCCTGTATCTGTTTGCTTCTTTACCAGGAAAAGGAACCTCTCCGTGTAATACCACTTAAAGAAGTTCATAAAGTCCAGGAATGTAAGCAAAGGTAAGGAACTGTATTGGCTTGATGTTGGCACCACTTATTAATACACAGCAGTACCTCAGTTTCATTAAGATGCTTATAGATTATATTTTTCTATATTAATTTTAATGTAATTTTTAACTAGGATGTGCTAGAATTTTTGAAATCATCAAATTAAAGTATAAAATAATTTGTTTATTTGAAAAGTAAAATTCATAAAAAGCTTATTAATGGAAAGAAAAAATTTTATATGAACAACTTGTACCATCAAATTTGGTTACTTGTTTTATTGTTAATTTTAGTATCTTGAAGGTACAACAATAGGACGTTACAAGAAAATGAATTAGCTGTGCCTTCATCCTCGAGCAAACTGGTTTTTCTTAAGTTAGAGACTTTGAACTTTAAAGTTGCTATGTGAACTTCTAAAAATAACTACATAAAATTTATACAATTTAATACAAAAAAGCAAAATAAATGGGAAAAGATAAAGGGTTTTGTTAAGTTAATTCAGTGTTTTGCCTCCAATATTTATTTATTGACACATACTTGGCACTGAGTAAAAAAGTAAAAGAAAAACTATCAAATTACTGCTATTTAAGTGTAATTGGATAATTTTTTTTTTCATAACAGTGACATAATGATGAGGGACAACCTGTTTGAAATTGTAACAACATCTCGAACTTTCTATGTGCAGGTAAGATACTTATTTGGAGATTATTGAGCCTCTCATAAGAAATCAATAGCTGTTGTAGAGGAGAATAAACAAATAATATTTTTTGGTTTTGAGGTTAAAAATATGGCAATTATAATTCACTAACTTAGTAAATAGATATATAAAAGGTTACTGTAGGTTGTATGTTTAGGAATGGGAGTATCTTTGTTATGAATTAGTGAAATAGATCTATTTGGAGGAAGGAAAACTATTTGGAATGGGGGCGTTGAGACAGGGTCTCGCTATGTAGTTCAGGCTGGCCTTGAACTTACTTTATAGCCCTGACTGGCTTTGAACTCAAAATGATCCTCCTGCCTCAGCTTCCCAAGTGCTGGGATTACATGCATGCCCCACCTCCTACAGCTAGAGAAATGCTATTCCAACTTAGATATTACATGTTTACATTCAAATTTGATTATTTTACACTTATTTTGGAATTTTAGTTATATCATTTTTGTCATCTTACAAAAAGGGGAGCTCAAATATTCCTAATACAAGTAAGCAGATCTTTGTTTTACTAAAAGGAAGCGTTCTATTGTATTTAAGTTTAAAATGTACTTTTTACTTTTCACACTGAATTATTTAAATTGAAACTTTTTTTAAAAGAACATTTGTTTTATAAAAGTTTAATATGCCTACTGCAGAAAAGTTTGAAAATAAAAATTAAGAAAAAAGTTGTTTAGAAAACAACAATCCCACATTTAAGCAACCATTCTTAGTTTCTTGTTGCCTTTCTCATAGCAAGTGGGGTTATACTAAATATAGTGTTAAATCCTATTTATTTCATAATTATAGTCATGTTTCTCCATGTCATTAAAATTTTTCTGAATGTTTACAATTGTACCATACTCTATTGTATGGATATTTTACAGGTAAACTATTTCTGTGTTATTCTGTTACTTTCATTTACATAGCTTTTGTACATTTACTATGATAATGTGATGATGAACATCCTTATGTATAAATTTGCCTGAACTTCTGATTTTAAAAATTTTTTTTTCTGAATTTCTGATTTCTTTAGGATAAGTTGTAGATTAAGTTTAACCATCAAAGCATGAACCTTTTTATATTGTAAAATTGGTTTCTGGAATTCAGTTCCCATTAGTAATTAATGGAAGCATTATGTACCTTTGCCAGCTTTGAGTTTTCCTTTCAGAAATTCTTTGTTAAATATCATCAGTTCAAAAACATTCTGTGTCTTTAAAGTTTTTGAACTTTAGATTCTAGATCTACTTCTAGATGGAGGTAAGGGATCATAGAATTCTGGTTGTAAGAAATCATATCTCTGCAACTTCTTAGGCCCCTGTTTAATTGGACTAATTTCATAGTAAGATTTTGTTTTTTGGTACTGGGGATCGAACTTGAGACCTTGTGCTTGCAGGGCAGGCGGCAGAACCACTGAGCTAAATCCCCAGCCCTCATAGTAAGATTTTAAATTCACATTGGAAGCCAATCCGTATCAAGGAATGATATTTTGTAATATGACTTTCAAAACTCCTTTTAGGATTCAGGGTATGACTAGAAATTATTTCTGGAAAAATATGTAAAATAATGTCAAAATTTTTTAAATGACACAAGTATATATTCTTGTAGCATATTCAGATAATGTAGCAGTTGGTAGAAGGAAATAAAGGCTTTCTTAATTTCTTCCCAGAGGTAGTCATCATTGATATTTTTGATGTATCTGATCTTAAAACATTAAGTGCACAGTTTAGATCTCTGTATAGCAACTTAGCTGGCAAAACAAGGTTTTAAAAAGTGCTTCTAAAATTTGGGGGGGGGTGTCGCTTTAGAATGATCTTGTTGGTGACAATATAAGTTGCAGAATAAATGCATTGGATTTATAGAAGTAGAAGGTAATTTTGAGGAAAAATTGACTGAATGAGTCCTTTCTTTCCTTTAGGCTGATAGCCCCGAAGAGATGCACAGTTGGATTAAAGCGGTCTCTGGCGCCATTGTAGCACAGCGGGGACCTGGCAGATCAGCATCTTCTGTAGGTTTCCTCCTCTCTAGGGTGGTAGTCCCATAGGTCCCCCAGGCTATTGAGTTATTTACCTTCCTCTCCCCCTAATCCTTGTTTCTTTATTGAAATTTATTTGCATGTTGACTTTCATACCAATTGGACTTGCAAAAAATAATCCATTTCTAATTTAATGCTTCCTTGTAGTGTTATGTATACATAACTTTTAGTGCATTGTATTGTGTTAAATGCACAAATAGGCCAACTAAAGAATAAACTTTTTCCTTGCTTTTTTTAGCAATTATTACTTGTCAGTAGGTCTCAATTTAGTATTAACTTAGACACTTATTATGGTATTTGGCCTAATTGTTTTAGGTACCTTTATTTCTTACATTACACAGTTTTGTGATATCTCTATTTTTTTTTCCTGACTTCCTCATTTCAGTTAAGCTTGTTTGTTTTTTTGCTTGTTTATTGGCTTAATACCATAAGGCCACTACACAGGCTGGAGCCTTAAATACATTTAGTGCTCCCGTTCAGGATTTTCCATTTCTTTTTTTTAATTCTTATTTTCTAGCAGCTTTATATAAAACTCTGCTTCTGAAAACTTCCATAATTACCTTTGTGATAGTATGATAATAAAAGAAATAGGAAGAAAAATATTTCTCAAGTTCAAATACTTCATTAAGAAGTAAATTTTACTTTGGAATATTTTTGCCACTTATCTCTGAACTGAAAGTACAAATCCCAGTGAAAAATGAAAAATTATAGCAGTGTAGCAGTGTCATCAGCAAAAAGAAATCTAATATGAACTATAGTCTTTATCACCTAGATTCTTTATATGTACTAGATATTTGATACTGTTAAAAATCTTTCCTGATAGTAATATTACCTTTTACTAGATTCCTAGTAGTGATAACCAGAGATCAGTAAATAGAAATATACCTTTCTCATTTCTCAATTGCTTATTGTTCTACTTATATATATTTTTTTGGAGTATCTAAGAAGTCACTTTCATAGGTATTAATTTTGTAACTGCATTTATATGACTTTTTCAGCAGTCAAATATGAGATTCTCTGCAAAAACAATGTCTGTTGGGAAGAGGAAGAGTTGGAGAAGGGTGTTTGTGTTTTGTGCTTTGTGGTGGGGGCAAATTGGACTATCTAGCTATGACTGTCAGCAGAACTTTCTCTTTTCCTCCCTCTCCCAAGTATAGGTTAACTCTAATCTTTGCACTGTGTTCCAGATGCGGCAGGCCAGAAGGCTGTCGAACCCTTGTATACAGAGGTATACATCAAGAGCTGGTGAATGCAGCACGTATGTGGGCTCTCACGCAAACGTGCCTTCTTAGTAGAGGGCCTGGACTTACTCACTACTTACAGCTGATCAGAGAAAGTTGAGTTAACCAGACTGCCTTTTGCAGTTGTCATAACTGATTTTGTCAACACTAATTCGAACTATTTCGCTGTAGTTATCAGGTTGAACATATATATTTAAAAAATGATAATAAAAATACAACTTTACTAATGGAAAGGGACATTAAGCTAGCTTCTAAAAATTCTTTCACTGAGTTACTGCAAGTTTTAATTTTATACAACATTTGAAATGCACCTTTGTTTTAATAATATATGCAAACCCTATATTACTATAAATTTGCAAATTATTTTAAATATCTGGTGAACTTTAGCCATGTAGTAGGATTCTCTAGTGTTTTGGTAATTTTTAGCACTCTGATTTCAAAGCCACTGGTATCATAAACACAATATATTAGGAACCATATTGTGCAATGTATTCAGAATGGTCATACTTAGAGACATCTTCAAGGATCTAGTTAGAAGCATATTAAACTTAATACAACTGATATTAGTTCATCAAAGCTTCAAACATTATTAAATAGGTACCCTTTTAAAATCTTAAACCATATGAATGTGTGACATATTCAAAAGTAAATGAAATTAAGTAAAAAGACTGTTGTTACTGGTTTGCAGTGAAGCTTAAGGAAGCAAATACTAAGTTTTATCAGAATGCTAGACAAATGTTTGAAAAACCTTGATTCCTGCTTATTAAATAAATTTACAGCCTGATTTCACTTTTACATTCTGCATTTTATTTTTATCTTTCTAAAATATGTGGTATAAATCCCATTGTCAGTTGAGAGTAGACCCAAATGGTAAATCTGATAATGTTACTTTTAAACACAGTTCAGTTGCAGTTGGAACACTGTATCCTACTTTAGGCTGGCTAAGTCTTCAAAGTCTCATAAGCTGCCAGACTCAACTTTGGTGAAAGAACTGGTTTCTTTAGTGCAAATGGTTACTGGCTGTCATTGCTTTAAACTTACCCTTAAAATGCATCGCTTTGGGAAAGAACTTGCACATTTATGCTGCATGGCTCATGCTTCTGCTTTATGTGGGTGTGTGTGTGTGTGAGTGTGTTGTTTGTTTTTCAGAGAATCAAGTCTCACACTAAGTTACTAACCTTGTGGTTAATGATTGACTGTATCTGACCACCACTCCTTTTTCCAGGAGCATTCCACCTGTCCTTCAGAATCCAAACACACTCTCCGTTCTGCCAGCGCAACAGCAGCCACCTCACATTCCACAGTCTCTCGCAGCAACTCTCTGGTCTCAAGCTTTACCATGGAGAAGCGAGGATTTCACGAATCTCTTACCAAGGTCAAGCCAGGGAACTTCAAGGTCCAGACTGTCTCTCCAAGAGAACCAGCTTCCAAAGTGACTGAACAAGCTCTACTAAAACCTCAAAATGGCCCTCAGAAAAAAGATCATGACCCAGTGGACTTGGATGATGCAAGCCTTCCAGTCAGTGATGTGTAAGCTGGAAGCATGTGGGGGCCTGATTGCCCCTTCTGTCCTTCAGTGTCCTTTCATGAGGCTTCTAGCCAAAGATGATAAAGGTTGAAGTGGTTTTTAATACATATTATACTGCCTCTTAGATACACTCTTAAGCTGGTAAACCAAGAATCTAGGGAGCAGCCAAACTAAATGTAATTTCTTTAAGAGGAAAAAAAACCCTAATTGTCTCAGTATCAACTGTCTGAAGATTTGTGTATCTTCATTTGGGTGGTAAAAATGTGTGATACTTTTTTTTCCCTAGTGACTTTGACAGTTTAAATATTTAGCAACTTAAAACATTAAAAATGCTTAATTATTTTGGTCCTTTAAAAAGTACTACTATGACTTCCTATTAAATGTTCAGTATTTACATTCTTATTAATATTACCAAGTGAATTATTGCCAGACTAAGATTCCTAAACTTACAATGTCTGTGGTGCTGCAAAATTTTTACTGCAATTGGACTATTTTGAAATTATAACCATTTTTGATGCCCTGAATTTTGAGGTGAGTGATAAATTTTGCATAGAAGCTATGACTAGATCTTTGGTAAGGATGATGGAAAAAAGAAAAAACGAGAATTCAATTATATTTGAGATGTTTGGTTGAAAAGGCCTAGGACTTGCGGTGGTTAGTGCTTCATTCAGTGAAAATTACATAGAAACTTTTGGGAGTTTTGATTTTATCAAAGTTTTGTAAATAGTTCTTATTCCTCTTCTTGGATCAGTAGAAGACCTCAAGTTTATATGTAAAGACGTACCTGCCCTTACTCATGAAATTGTTGTGGCCTCTACTTGTTGTCACTAATAACCTATATTCAAGTGCCTGTGTTTTTTCATCTTGTTTAGGAATGTTTTGAGATTAATGTGCTCAAAAATCCTACATGATTGGCTTTAAATATTGGAATAAAATAGTTTTTCAGTAGCATAGTTTAATGTGTTAAATGAGATAGCATTTTATGTTAGAGATACCAAAATTCTGGTATTTTTCTACATGTGCAATATATATGTTTTAAAAAACAAATTTGAGTATACATTTAATCATGGGGATATCATGAGTATAAGCACCTACATAAAGAATTCTTAGTTTCAGTTGTAGAATGATAGACGAGTTTGAACAAGTACCATTTTGCAATTCAGTCCTTCACAGTTTGCTTTAAGAAAAACAGTCTTGAATTTCACATGCTGCTATTTTATGATATTTTACTATTTTACAGTGCTGTTTTGTTTTGAATTCATACATATCACTGTTTCTTTTCATTTTCTAAGATGACTTCTTATTTGTGAGAGAAGAAAAAGGAATTTCCTACTCCAGTAGTAGAGTCCAGAAGTTAAGATGCATCATTCTAGAATTACTCAGTTTTAGTTTTAAAATCCATGTGTATAAGAATGCACCGACTTTTATTCATAAGCTAATATTTTTTTAACTTACAGATTTTTTGCTTTTGCAACTACATTTGAAAATGTTAGAATGAAAAGGTTTTAAGTAGTGATCACTTTTTCTGCTGACATACATTTTAATGGCTCTTTTGAAACAAAGTTCCTTTTTTATAAATACACCTATCGCTTCTCGGCCTTTTGGCTAAGATCAAGTGTTTATAAATACACCTAAGAAATATGTATAGACACTTTGCAATATTCAAGAGCCTAATGCTGTTTTCTTTGGTACATCTTCCACATTGCATGTTCATTTTAGCATATTTTGGTATTGGTAATTTGATATGTTTCATGGTGGCAAAATATTAGGTCTATTTTGGAACTTTTTATAGAACCTACCCTATTTCGTAGGAAAATGTTTTGTGATTGTCAGGGTCTCCTAATATTTATCTCAATTTTTTTATAAGTCTGGAAATTATTTAATTATTTTAAAACTTACATTTTTCTTGTAAATATGTCACATCTGAAGTGTCAAAAATTACTTTGAATACTTTAATACTTGCTGCATTTTTTTTCTGTGTATATAACATGTCTTCTTTCAGAATGGGAATGTGTACCTCTCAATGTTTACTGTTAATGTCTTTTATCTTTATATGTTGATCTGGTTGAACACTGTAATGACTTGATAATAAACTGCTCAGAATTCATTCTAACTTCTCATTTCATTTTAGTTCAGCTATCTATTTAAACAAGTAAACAGAACTAGTATAGAGTGTTTTTGGTTAGTTAACCAAATTTGAATTTACACATATGAAGACTATATGATAATCTTAAAAAGAAACCAGATCTGTGAATTTTTAAGGCACAGCTTCATGTGAAATGGTACAAGTAAAAATGTTTATTGGAAAACAGAACTTGCTTATTTTACTTAATTAAAAACCACATTCTGGCTGAGCATGGTGGCACCTGCCTGTAATCCCAGCACTCTGGGACGCTGAGGTAGGAGGATCGTTAAGTTTGAGCACAGCCTTGGGCAAGTTAGCCACTTAGCCATCAAAATTTAAAAAGGGCTGGGGCTGTAGTTCAATATGAGCCCCTAGGTTCAATATTCAATACTGCCAAACAGAACAAAAAACTACCATGAAAACTACAGAACACTGAAGAAAGAAATTGAAGACATTAGAAAATGGAAAGAACCTCCTTGTGCATGGATCAGCAGAACTAATATTGCAAAATGGCCATATTACCTTACCAAAAGCAGTCCACAGATTCAATGCAATTGCTATTAAAATACCAACAACATTCTTCACACAGCTAGAAAAAATCCCCAAATTCATATAGAATTTTTAAAAACCCACAAAGTTAAAAAACAAAAAAGACCCAAAATAACCAAAAACAATCTCAAGCAAAAAGCAATGGTGGAGGCATAATACCAAGCCACAGTAACAAAAACAACACGATATTGGCACAAAAATAGACATGTAGACCAGTGGAATAAAGACAGAAGGAAAGCCATAAACCTATAGATATCTGATTTTTGACAAAGGAGCCAAAAACATCCCGGAGAAAAGATAGCCTGTTTAACAAGTGGTTGCTGGGAGAACTGGATATCCACGTGCAGAAGATATCCCTATCTCACTAAAATCAAATCAGAATGGATCAAAGCATAGTTACACATATACTCTTTGAAGCTGCTGGGAAGCGCTTGAACCCATGTGCACAGGTAAAGACATGAATAGAATTCCAGTAGCACTGGGAATAATACCAAGAGTCAATAAATGGGATTATATCAAAATAAGCTTTTCTGCACAGCAAAGGGAAACAACAGTGAAGAGAGCCTTCTGCATAGGCAAAAATTGCTAGCTATTCTTCTGATAGAGGATTAATATCTAGAATATATAAACTCAAAAAATGGACCCCCCCCCAAAACACAACCCAATCAAAAAAATGGCAAATGACCTGAATAGACACTCTTCAAAAGAAGTACAAATGGCCAGTAAGTGTATGGAAAGAAAAAAAAAACCTTGCCACCTTTAGCCACCAGAGAAATGCAAATCAAAGCTACCTTGACAATTCATCTCACTCCGACCAGAATGGCTATCATGAAGAATACAAAAATATAGTTTATTGAACCGTAAAAAATAAAATGAAGTCATTTACAGGAAAATGGATTGAACTGGAGTCCATCATGTTAGGCAAAGTAAGCAAGACTCAAATATCGCATGTTTTCTCTAAGTATGAGAAACGTAAGATAAATGAATAAAGTAAAGGAGAAATAGAAAACTACAAGGTGGATTCTTGGAAATAGGGGAGGGAATCCTGGGGAGAAGAGAAGAAAGGGAGAGAGGAGTAAACGGATTGAAAATGATCAAGATATATCATCATAGACCAATTCCCCAAAACTAACCATGCAGTAATTTTTTTTTTTAAATATAAAGGGAAATTCTAAAGGGAAACCCCTTCCTCCACAGTTTGAGAATTTTCTTAGCATGGTGTTTGTGTCTTAATCAAAAATTCTATTAATAAGCCAGGCACAGTGGCATATACCTGTAATTACAGCTACTCCGAAGGATCACTTGAGCCCTAGAGTTCAAAACCACTGGGCAACACAGTGAGACCCTGCCACAGTTGGTGAATCAGAAAATAGTTGTATCAAAAATAAAAAGATCTTTTTTTTTTTTTTTTTTTTTTCCGGCCGCGCGCGCTCCTGTGCTCAGTGGAGTTCAAGATGTTGATAAACATAAGGTCTGGTGCTTGGAAGAACTGGTGAAGCTTTTCAAGTAGAAAAGGTGTATCTGTATGCAAAATAGAGTTTTTGCCCTATGCCTATTGTAGCAGGGGTGAATTTTGAGACAGGTCCAGTTACACATAGGAACAGATATCTGAGAATTTTGTGCCTTTGCCTTTTAGTGCAGTTGGTCCCGGAGAGACTAATTTCTGTAGAATTCCATTTTTTTTTTTTTAATCATCTAGTCCTAGTCTGAAACTATCTTGATTCATATACTCTACAAAGATTAGTACATTAAGGTCAAAACAATTCTAACTAGCTATTTCATAACTAAAGTATCTCGCTTTTTAAAAACATGGTCCTGTGTATTTTATATGCAAAAGGTCATTTTAGTGATTAGATTTTAATCCCTTTGGCAACATGAATTGATTCCAAGAGATTTTTTTGCCTTCACATCTTGTTCCACAATTGTTCTACTTGATTATGGTGGTGGTTACATGATTATGCATTTGTCAGATCTCATGTTTAGTAGATTTTGCAGAATGTAAATTGATACTTGAATAAACACAGCTTTCAGAACATCAATCAATCAATCAATGAATCAATCAATAAGTAAAAAGATCTGGGCCGGGGATTTAGCTCAGTGGTTCTGTCGACCTCCTCGGAAGCTCAAGGTCCCGAGTTCGATCTCCGGGTACCAAAAAAAAAGAAAAGAGCTAACAAATACTAAATTTGACATTACAATACTAGACTTTCCTTGTGTTTAAGAGAGTTTGACCCTTCATACAGGACATGATTAAAATTATACTTGATTAAATGGTTTGTACTTTCCACGTGCTAACTTCAACTTGGGGGGGGGTACCGGGGACCTTGCGAGGGGCAGGCGCTGTGCCACTGAGCTAAATCCCTGGGCCGCTAACTTCAATATTTTAGAGATTCAAAACCGATTGTTTTTAAATGATTTTCGAAAGTTGTTTTTCTCAAACATCAGGACATGTATCGAAAATACTGCTAATAATGCTGAGGTTAGTATTTACAATTTGGGGGGGGGCGGGGTACCGGGTATCGAACTCGGCTCATTGAGCTTGCGCAGCAGGCGGAGACACCACTGAGCTAAATCCCGGGCCCCAATATTTACAATTTTAACTGATAATATTCTAGTACCTTACTGTTGCCAATTGATGTAATACGAGCGCCACCTTCTGGTTAGCCCATTGCTAAATTGATAGTAATTTGGTATTAATTTCATTTTATTTCCCCTGACATAATTAAAGATATGTGGTTGCCTAGGATCGTTTTTGAAATTAATATCAAAGTTATGCCACAAATTACAGATGGCTTTTTAAATTAAGCTTTGATTTGGAGATAACTGTAGTATCACAGTGGCTGTAAGCACAGATCTTGTATACCCTTTACTCCGTTTCACCCAATGATGACATTTGGAAAACTATCATACAACATAATTATGATATTGACTGATACAGTCAAGAGGTAAAACAATCCTATCATTACAATAATCCCTTATTGTTGCCCTATTGAGGTCACATCCATCTGCTATGGTATGGTTTAGAAACAGACTTAGTCACTTGCTCAAAGTCACATTAGGTTTCAAATCCAATCTTCCTATACCAGTTTGGGCTCTTAACCTCTACGATATTACTGCTTCAGAAGGAGTCTTGAAAAGTGCTCTTCCTTTATTTTATCTCCAGATTATTAAATGAGTGGAATTTTCATTCACTATTTTCCAGAACCATGATATTTCAAATGAGGATTTTTTTATACATTCCATTAAAATTTAACTTTTGAGAATCAATAATAGGTAAGTATCCTGATCATAATCTTCCTTGAAAGATTTCAGGCTCTGACATTTGACATTATATGAATTAATAAAGTTACCAAAATAAGATAAATAAATATTTAAGTAAAATAACCAGATTACAATGCCAAGTTCTTGCATTAGAAATAGTTGTAGGGACTTGTTATAAAGATGATCACTTGGTGTAAGGTAGGTTAAAGGCCAAGGGTTCTCCTGTGCGAAAAAGCCTTGACCTGTTGAAGTCTTGATCAAATCTGAGTCTTCACTGTACAACATGTAGCACATACCAGTAGGAGCTCTAGGAAAATGTAATATGTGATGAAATCTAGTGTGGAAAACTACACATCCAAGCACTAAGATGGTCAAAAAATGGTGTGGGGAAGAAACAATGTGGTAGATAGGGCCTTTAGGAAGTCCCAAAAGATAAAAGGATCCTTCCATGTAACAGCTGGTATGACACGGTGATAAATATGTAAATATTGATTTGGAATTTGAAGGGTTTTAATTGATGCATAACATTCTTTTGAAAATTTATTGCTTCTTCCTCCCTTCCTCTCCCCATAGTTTTCTTTAGGGGGAAGGGTGAGAGTGAAGTAAGGAATATGAGGAACTTTTATGATATAGGGACTCACCACATGGAGGGGTGTGTGTGTGTGTGTGTGTGTGTGTGTGTGTGTGCGCGCCTCTCTTTGGTACCTTCATAATATACAAATAATCTATTCTCTCCCTAAACTTATTTACTGTTATTTCTAAATAAGAGCCTTTGGTTCCAATAACATCTATTTTTGGTGACTTTCACAGGCATCATGCTCATAGTCTTTGTTCACGTTATCAGTCATGTTCTCTTCCTCACACCTTCCTTTTGCCTGTTGAAGTATAGAAGGTGGAAGATTTTCCAGTGAGAGAAAGTGAGACATTAAGGATAAGGGCAAGTTTGGCCTGAACAACTAGAAGCAAACAGAAGCTATGGACTGATGTAGTAAATCTGTAGGTAAAGCAGGCTTGAAGGAAAAGATCATGATTGCAGTATTAAATATATTAGGTTTACCTGCCTGTTAAGACATTCAAATGGCATGGTACTCTGCTTACAAGACCCAAAAAATTTCACTAAAAGACTCCTAGAATTAATGACCAGGTTCAGCAATGTAGCAGGATACAAAATC